TTTTTTTTTTTTTTTTTTTTTTTTTTTTTTTTTTTGTTGTCTCTGCCGCTGTTTCCCTGAACTATGAACTATAGCTGGAAGAGAGTATTGCTTAACCACCCTGCCACCTGCTACAGGACCACCTGTCCAGGTATGGTCGCCTCTGGGACTCACCAGCTCTCTGGGGCCTGCCATCAGGCTGGTCTGTAAACATGCACTGAAAGTCCTAGGGCAGAGGGAGGGGCTGGGATGAGTGAGCTCTGGGCAGCAGAGACGGGGCATCTTGGAGGCGGGGGAGGAGCGTGCTTGTGCTGTACTCTTCTGTACCTGCTTGGTGGTGGTTTTACTCTGAGAATGGTGTGCCAGCTTTCTAACCAATGCTCCTTGCATTGGTGAGACGCAGAGAAGGGTATACACCCTGTACCAGCTTTGCACGGCCTCACATCCAGTGCCAAACTCAGGGCAAGATATTTGAACAGGAAAGTGGGGAAACGTTTGCCTGATTCCTGGGGTCCCCGTTCCCCTGTCCATACAACAGATCTCATTCATAAGGTCCTAGAAAGTGTCAGTATACCATGCCCATGGACATGCTTTATCAGCTAGAAAATTCCAAACAAATGAGATATTGTCCACATGGTGATGCATCATTCAGTACAGTTCCCCTCAGTGTCCTCAATGGTTCTTATCCAGGAATCCAGAGCACCCTCTTACTGGGAGCTGACACTGCTCCCAAGTGTATTGGTGTCCACCCTTGGATGAGCTCCGTACTCTTGGTGAGGCTCTCGGGACGGCAGAGCCAGCATTTACGCTCAGGCAGCAGAGTGTCCTACCCCGGGTCAGGTGGTCCCCTTGACGTGTCCTGTTGATGTATTAAAAGTTCCACCACAGGACACATAGGGGAAACTGCTGGCAGGGCTGCTGCTGCTGCTGCTGCTCAGAAGTTAGAGTTTGAAGACTCGGAGCAGCGATGCTGAGCATTTTAGAGCTTTCAGTGATACAGACAACCCGCTGCAGCACACGTGCCAAAGATTTGTCACCACTGACTTAGAGTGACCCGAGTTTCAGTCCCGCTCTGCCCCTCGCCAGCTGCTTGACCTTCTGCATGTGACTTCTTTTCACTGAATGCCTCCTCTCCTCGTCTGTAAAATGGGAGTTTCATAGTTCCTACCTCTGAAGTAGCCATATCTGTGTAGTGTGTTAGCACAGAAACTGGCACATAGCAGATGCTCAGTTAAAAGCCTTTGTTGCTCTGATTCATGAGCCCCAATGTATCTGTATGCTACCAGGACAGCAGGGCTGGAGGGTACTGAATTAGCTTCAGTAAATTCTCCCTTTGCAAAGTCTGCACTTTAATTACAGTGATGTGACCAGCAAATAATATATTAATATTTTGAAGCAAAAATAGAAAGCACCAGTCCCAGTCATGTCCACATTCAGCTGTTTATCGAACCCTGTGAATACACGAACAGATGAAGATCCTGTTTCTTCTCTTTAACCTTGGGAGGGACGTGATGGGGTTTTATCTACACTTGTAATGGATAAGGAGATTGATGAGGCGTTCAGATAGTGACCACAGGTTGTCATCAGTTAGACCCTGCAGAATGGGCCTGATTTTGATGTAGTTTCCTGTGTAACTACCCGCTTTGTGGAGGCATTACTTATTTTTGTTTGTTTGTTTTGGTACCGGGGATCAAACTTGGGTCCTTATGCTTGCGAGGCAGGCAACAGAACCACTGAGTTAAATCCCTGGCCCTAGGCCTTACTTATAATTTGCACTTCACATCCAAATGTAAATATTGTATAGCCGTTAGGGAGTGTTTGCCTCATGTGAAGAATTTCCATGGACTAATTGATTTCATGCACCCTGTAGCCCTGTGAAGAAGTGCAGGCATTAGCATTCTGTTTAGATGAGGGAAGAGAAGCTTGGGGAGGTGAATTAAGATGCCCATTTCTCAGTGAGTTTCCTGGCTGCCGAATGAAGGCTTGCTGTTTTGTTGTGTTACCCTGCAGAGACCCTTAGGAACAACTGTGAGAGAATTTAAAACAGAAAGGCCCTGAGCAGCCCCCTGGTATTCCCTGCATCTTAAAGACATCCACACTCTTACCTTGAAGTTCCTGAGTGCTTCATCCTTGGCAAGCTCCAGTCCAGCAAAATTAATCACTGTGACCTCCCGAGGTCCCCCAGGCCTTCTCGGCAGCTATGGGCTATTGTGGCCTGTGGTCCTGGCCATGGGAACTGGGTCCCACAGGCACGTCCTGGGTGTGTAATTCACAGAGCCTTACGGAGCCCACCAGTGTCCTGTGCCGGCCGTGTCCAGACAGTCCTCTAGGTTCTTCCCCTCTCTGCTCGGTGTGCTGCAGTGGGCTCCTAGTGGACAGTGGGGGAGGAAAAGGCCCGGGCCCTTTTCCTGGAGGCTCACTCCTCCAGCTGGCCCTCTGTGCTCCTGTGCCAGTAAGCCTGGATCCTAACGGGCATCACTCTGCCAGGTCCTTGTGACTCCCATCCCTGCCAGAATGGAGGCACATGTATTCCGGAAGGACCGGACAGGTACCATTGCCTCTGCCCGCTGGCCTTCGGAGGGGAAGCCAACTGTGGTAAGTACACATGGGGCTTCCAGGATTTACCACGCCTCCCACCTCCTACTCTGTAGAAGCCGGCCCTTGATCGAGAGTCCTACTTTCCCAGCCCTCCATTAATCTGATGTCTCAGGAGGTATAGTCTCACGAATGAGTAATTCAGGTGGCAGAGTTCTGGCAGGACAGTGGCTCCTGGCTTAGCTGTGGAATGGCCACTGCCTGACATTTAAGCATCACAAAACCCGGCTGAAGGCTGGAGCCAGCCCAGCTCTAGGAAGAATCTTTTCTTCTTCCTTCTCCTAAAGAAGAGTAAAAGGGAACCTCTGCCAGTTTTGGTTTTAAAGATGTAAAGATCATACAGGTGTTAGCTCATAGGGTGGCTGGGAATTTTAAATAATATGTTAAGTGCTTAGCACAGGGCTTGACATGTAGCGGGGGAGTGTTAAATAGTAACTTTTAAATATGTGGTGTTGGGTGCATTGGAGATCCATATGGAAAAAGTCGACCGTGTACCCCAAAGCCTACCCCACATCAATCCCAGGTGGAATGGAGATGGGGCTGGGGCGCTGCCTCCCTCTCTCTCCCTCGGAGGAGGAGGTTTCTCTTGCCCCAAGTGGTTTGTGGGTGTCTGAGGTGGGGCTGATGTACACACACTGCCCTGGCCGCAGACTGACAGTGGGTGTTGCCATGGTCCCAACAGCCCCGAAGCTGAGCCTGGCGTGCAGGATCGATGTCCTCTTCCTGCTGGACAGCTCTTCTAGCACTGCCTTGGAGGGCTTCCTGCGGGCCAAGGCCTTCGTGAAGCGCTTTGTGCAGGCCGTGCTGAGCGAGGACTCCCAGGCCCGTGTCGGAGTGGCCGGGTACAGCAGGGAGCTGGCGGTGGCGGTGCCCGTCGGGGAGTACCGGGACGTGCCGGAGCTGGTCAGGAGCCTCGATGGCCTTGCATTCAGCGGCGGCCCCACCCTCACGGGCAGTGCCTTGCTTCAGGCGGCAGAGCGTGGCTTTGGGAGCCCTGCCAGGGCAGGCCAGGACCGGCCACGAAGGGTGGTGGTCCTGCTCACTGAGTCACCCTCTCAGGATGAGGTGGCTGGCCCAGCGCGTCTCGTGAGAGCCCGAGATCTCCTCCTGCTCGGCGTGGGCAGTGAGGCTGTGCGGGCGGAGCTGGAGGAGGTCACAGGCAGCCCAACACAGGTGATGGTCTATGCAGAGCCTCAGGACCTGTTCGACAAAATCCCTGAGCTGCAGGGGAAGCTGTGCATCCGGCCGTGGTCAGGTAAGTGCTGGGTGCCTGACCAGGCACAGCCTTTCCTTAGGCACTGGTTTCTCAAGTCTACTTGTCAAGAAAATGGGCCGAATGAGTGCTTTCTGAGGATTAGAGGAGATGAGGAATATAAACATTCAGTATAGACTGCTCATCTGCAAATTTTAGGTGTGGCATTATTATTATTTTGGGGGGGGGCACTGGGGATCAAACTCATTGTCCTTGCACTTGTGAAGCACACAGCGAAAGCACTGTGCTAAATCCCCAGCTCTGGGTTATTATTCTTGGAGCTCTGAATCAACCACGCCTGCTGTAGAGCAGCTCTTCGCAGGCTCTCTGATGGCGTCCCACAAAAAGAAACGAACTCCTGGATACCCATGTGCATGCACACAAACAGCTCAAATATTTTGTGACACGATGCCTACCATGTCTCCCTGGGGTGCCCTGTAGCACTGTTCTGTTCTGATTTGTTCTGTCTTGTGACCTATAGAGCTGATTTCCGGAGCCACTGTTGGAGGGTGCTGTGGGAATGGGGGCCTGTCCACTCTTACCCTGGCCAGTAACCTTCACGACATTTGGTGGCCTTTCCTTAATCTCCTGGTAGCTGTGACAGTTTCTCAGCTTTCATTATGCTGAGGTGGTTTTAGAAACCAATCAGTCAGGTCACCAGACTCCCTGGCTCCACACTTGGACCTTCCCGGAGGCTCCCATTGCAACCGTAAGAAACCCAGCTCCCCTCGTCCAGCTTCTGATGGCTCCCCATCTGCCCCCTCAGGTCTCTGTGGCCCCTGCAGCATGGGAGAAGCTCCCGCTTGGGAGGCAGCCTGCCCTGCCAGTTCACCGGCTTGCTTGTCCTTTAGTTCTAACTACAGTGTCCCTCTCCAGAGAAGCCCTGACCCCTCACGCACACGCAGGCAAATCATGTTGCACCTGCTGGTCTCTCTCCTGGTTCCCTAATTTTGTTTCCTTTCTCTTCCCTCCATTTGTAATTCTATATTCATTTCCTGTCTGTGCCCCTTAGATGGTCAGCGCATGAGCACAGGCCTGGGCCTGTTTGTTCCGTGTGGCATATAATTAGTGTACTGTGTTTAGCGGGTGGTACATGGAGGGTGTATGATAATGGTACAGGTTAGGATGTTGTCACAGTGCCCCAAACCGATGGATTATAAGATAGAATCCTCTTCCTCTCTCACGTGGTTCAGAGGTGAGTGGTCTGCACTAGCAGGGTGACTTGGCCATCTTGTTACTTCCATCTTTAGGTCAAGATCTCCCATCTCTCAGCCAGGAAGAAGGCTGAGGGTGGGGAGTGGTGGGCAAGCAGCTTCCTGCCCAGTTTGAATTTGCAGTTTCAAACTTGGAAATTATAGTTACCTCTGACATTCTTATCACATGGACTTCTGACACACGTCCACCACCAACTGCCAGAAGGGTGGGAAATGCACTCCGTGTTCATCTTCCTGTCTTCTAGGAGAGGGGTGTCTGATGGCCCCAGGAGGAGGGTGGCACTGCATGGACAGACAGCAGATGGGCTGGCCATGGGGGCTTTTGGCCCAGAGCAGTCCCTGCTGGGCCAGCCAGGTGTGGATGAGGGTTCTGCTCTGCTTGCCCCTGCAGGCTGCCAGGCACAATCCATGGACCTGGTCTTCCTGTTGGACGCCTCAGCCTCCGTGGGACCCGAGAACTTTGCTCAGATGCAGAGCTTCGTGAGGAGCTGTGCTCTCCAGTTTGATGTGAACCCGGACGTGACGCAGGTCGGCCTGGTGGTGTACGGCAGCCAGGCGCGGACAGTCTTCGGGCTGGATGCCCATCTCACACGCGCTGCTGTGCTGCGGGCCATGAGCCAGGCCCCCTACCTGGGGGGAGCAGGGTCAGCCGGCATGGCCTTGCTGCACATCTATGACAAGGTGATGACTGTCCAGAGGGGCGCCCGTCCTGGGGTCCCCAAGGCCGTGGTGATGGTCACAGGTGGGAGGGGGGCAGAGGATGCGGCAGTCCCCGCCCAGAAGCTGAGAAACAATGGCATCTCCGTCTTGGTCGTGGGCGTGGGCACTGTTCTGAGGGACGCACTGAGGCGGCTCGCTGGTCCTCGGGACGCCCTGGTCCAAGTAGCCGCTTACTCCGAGCTGCAGCACCACCAGGATGCGCTCATCGAGTGGATATGCAGAGGTGAGTGACTTCACAGTCCTCAGTGCTGCCCCCAAGACGCCCCACGCATGGGCTTTTGTATACATTCTTACAAGGAAAGCAGTTTCTTCCGATTCCTGTGTGTTTACTTCCCGTACCACTTTAATGTGCTAAATCCCATACTCCCCTGGAATCCCAGGGTAGGTAGATCCATCCCCATGTACGGGGGTAGAGAATTTAACCCAGGTGCCTCCTTTTCAAGGTTGAGATTTATGCATTCTACTGAAAAGGATGACATTTTTAGGAAACCCACATCCCCCAGTGCAGGTTGGCGCTGACCTAGGAAATGAATGACAGAGCCAGGAGCCAATAGGGAGACCCCACGCCAAGGTCTCACTTTCTCAGTAGCTTTCTTACCAAGTGCTTTTTTTTTTTTTCTTTTGGTACTGGGGATCGAACTCGGGACCTTGCGCTTATGAGGCAAGCAATGGCACCACTGAGTTAAATCCCCAGCCCCCAAGTGCTTTTAGAAAGCGCATGACAGTAATGACAGCAGTAAACACTGCCACATGCACAGCACGCAGTCTCCATTTCGTGTAGGCGAGCTCGGTGGGATTTGATCATCTTCAGCCACGTAGGACAGACGTGTCTTCCATTGCAGAAGCCAAGCGGCCCGTCAACCTCTGTAAGCCCAGCCCGTGCAGGCACGATGGCACTTGTGTCCTGCGGCGTGGGAGCTACCGCTGCGAGTGCCGTGATGGCTGGGCGGGTCCCCACTGCGAGAACCGTGAGTGGCTCCCACTCTGCACGTGTGAGCTGGGGGTGGAAAAGAGTCCTGTCAAGTGTCAAACTCCGCCGAAGTCAGGCTCTTCGGTCCGTCATTTATTCACTCACCCAGGAAATGTTTAGGAGGATCTCCTACATCCTGGGCTTCGTTCTAGGTGCGGGGAAGATAGCATCAAACGGAACAAAAATCTGCCCTTGTGGAGCTTCCATTCTGGTGTGGAAATAGATGTTACACCAGCTAAGTGGAACATACAGAATAACAGATAGGGCCAAGTACACTGGAAGATGTGACTAGGCGGGAGACCTCAGTGAGGGGCCCTGTGAGTCAAGAGTCATGGGAGCGAGGATGCAGACATGGACCCAGAGGCAGGTGACTGGGTGGCTGCAGTGCTAGGACCTGGTGGTCGCCTTCTGGGTCTGTCTGCTTAGTGACATGGGGAGAACAGCCAGCAGCTGAGCGAGGACGGGGAGGAGGAGCTGTTGGGTGAGAAGGGGGACTGTCTGAGGACACATGGAATGAGGGCGGGGCAGCAGTAAGCTGATCAGCCAGAAATCTGACGCCAACAGCAGCTACAGCTAGGTGCTCAGCCCCTGGCGCAGTGGGGTCTGTAACCTGGCATCTTCTGCTTGGGGAGTGGATAAGAGGACGTGTGGGGCCCCCGGGGGTACTGACAGGTTGAGGAGGGACTCAGACATTGATGTCCTCATCACTCCCACCCTTTGCAGGGGTCTTGAGAGGAGACGCCCCTGAGGCACATGGTTCCCGCCAGGATCCCACTGGAGGGCTGCACACACCCGGCTTGCAGCAACCGCAGCGGCCTCGGCACCCTGGGAGCTGAAAGGGTACTGCCTTCGGCAGAGCTCATCTTCTGAGTCCTCCTGTGTCTGCTGCCTGCTCTGTGCCAGCCTTCCTTCCTCCTAGCCTCCGACAGGGACATCCTCACTGCGGCCCATGGTGCATGGGACAACAGGAGCGGCTGATGTCACCTCCTGACAACAATAGTGATGCTGAAAATGCTTCCTGATATGTGAGTAAATACCTTCTGTGCCCGTTTACCTTGTTGAGGATGTCATCTGCCACTTTCCCCGAGGATAAACAAAGGATAATGGAGAATTCTGACAGCTTGTGTGAGATTCGCTTTTTGCACAGAAGTTTTGCCAGACAGGATTTAGTTGAGACAGAAAGCTCCAATAGGAAGCCTCATCTGGGCCACCAAAACCATGGCCTTTCCAAATGGAAAAGTGGGGACTGTGCCACATCCCAAAAGATCACCAGTATGCATTTGCTTTGAGTTTGAAAAGGGACTTCTATGGTACTTGTGATTTCTGGCGACAGAGCGACCTTTTCAGGTCTCTGACTACATTTGACCATTGACCTGTTTGGCTGATGGGGGAGGGGCTAAGTGTGCAGATGGTCCAGTCTGGAGGGGCCACGAGTCACCGGTCCAGATACCGGGCACCAGCTCCGTGGGAAGTCTTCCTTTTCAAGATGTTTTTGCAGGAGGGACTCACTGTAGGTTCTTACCGAAACTTGTTTTCCACAGCTTTTAGTGGGGGCAAAGAAGAGTTAGAATTCTTAAATCCAGCAAATAAAGATACTTGTAGAGTTTTGTCTTTTTAAGCATAGATGGTATTAAGATTCTTTTGTTTTTTGCTTTGCTTTTTATGCCAAGTTTTAAAAGAGCTCTTTCAAGAGATGTCAGTTATTTAGCAGAAATAGTTGTACACATGTGGCAAGAAGGACTGGAATATTTTCTGGTCATCTAAGTACTTAACCCTGCGGGGTAAAAGTAAGATGGAGGTACTGTATCAAAGTCTGGTTTTCAGTAGAAGCCTTTGTAGTGTTCTGACATAAATCCAAAGACATTTATCATAAGTTTTCTTCTTAAATATTTTAATTTGTTTTACATACAGATGTTCAAGGATATCTGGATTTAAATGGCACTTGACTTTAAGAAATTCAGGATTTCTGATGCTAGAAAAGTTATTGAAGAGGGATCACCAGGTGTCATTAGACATAAAGTCTGGAGTCCCAAGCACTGAATCGTGACAATCATCATTAATTTCATAGAAGGCAATATCAGGATAGGTCCACATGCCCAGCTAGAGGATGCTGATCAGTGGTACAATAGAACTTGCATGAATTGAATTCACTGTCTTTAATAGTAGCTTAATCATTTATCATGTAGGCTCTTTGTCCTGTTGAGGGCTCTGTGGATGCCTTATCTGAATAACATATTAAAGAGACTTTATAGTTTGTTTTTAGGAGCAAGGGTTTCAGTCCTTAAAAAAAACCTTTTTCTATCTTTTCTAGTAAAGGCCCCACCCTTTTCAGTGTCTCAGTAGTGACAGAGGGAATTCCTGTTTTCTTGCTTAACCAGCCAAGCCCTTTTCTCTCATTCAAAATAATGCTACAGCTTTAATTTTTAGCTCTTTCTTCATGTTTTCATACAAAAACAAACTGCAGATCATGAATCTCCTTTTATTTTCTCTCAATGATCCTGATGCCATCACCTTGCTGGACACTCTAGTTCTAATAATTGAGTTTCTTGGTTTTCTAGGGAAATATTCACAAATGGTTTTGTTTCTTCTTTTTGAAGTTGAATACTACTTTTCCTTATCATTTTGCTTTATCTAGCCCTCCACAGTAGTGTTTTGGAAAGCAGTGGTAGCAACATGTATCCATGTCTGATTTGTGACTAAAGGGATTTCTCACCATTATAGGTACAATTCCTGTCGGTTTTCTGCAGGTCACTTTAGCAGGTTAAGGATGTCTATTCATCTTTACCATATTCACATTGCCATAGAAATTCCATATTTTTCAGTATTTTCTTATAATTTAAAAATCTTGCCAGAGGGCGGAGGCATATATTAGTGGCAGAGTAAGGACATGTTTGAGGCCTGGGTTCCACTCCCGGTAACCCCTACTCCCCAATAAAAAGATTTCTGTTTAATTCTGCTATTTCATATAGCCTTAGATTGTCTCTTAAATTGCATTAGTCCTTTTTTCACTTTACCATGAACTTCCTTAATTACTATTCAAGCAACCTTCCAAGTACTGATGTTTATATTTCCCAAGACTTATAGGACTATTGGTTTTCAGTTACCACATCTGCAGAAACTGAATGTATATATAGGTACCTCTGTTCACAAACTTAATTTGTTTCATCATTCTGGGAAAGATGGACATGGTTGTGTTTGTCACTCTGTGCAGAGTTGGCAAACAAAAGCATTCATGAACTGAGACACCACTGTCTGTATTTGGTACTTTGCTGTATATAATATTAAAATCCTCTTCCAGATGTACTTAATTTAAGGAGGCTTAAAGTAGAATCCCACCTTTCATATTTTGAAGTTTAGTATGTAAATAAAATTCACTAGGCCCTGCCCCAAGTCATTCCATGAAATACAAGGGGAACCCCAAATACAAGGAACATTTTATTTAAAAAAAAAAATCAAACCACTTGGCAAAGATCACCAAGTGTTCATGACATAGGAAATAAATGCCCTGGGATTAGAAATACATTATGAATAAAAAAGACTTTTTAGCTCTCAGGAACCAGTGTTTGAGAACTCTGATTCAGGAACCCCCTGAAATGTTTCAACCTGGATTAACAAAGAATGCCATTGCAACAAGAGACAGGACAGCACACAGAATAGCACTGCCAGAGAAAATGGAGGTCATGCTCACCAAAATTCTTGACTTTTTTTCTTTCAAGGGGGCTGGAAATTAGAACTTCAAAACATGAACTACGAGAGCACTGTATTAAATAACTTCCCTTAAAAATGGCCTGACCACAGGACTGTATCTGTAAACACAGGGTAACTTTTTTTGGCCATAGTCATGTAAGTTAAATCTCAAGACATTTTCACTAGTCTGGCAGAATTTTAAATGTTTTGTCTATATAATATAGCATCACTTACCATTTTATTTAAAGAGAGTTCATTGAGGCCTGCCTTGGAGTGGGAAGAGAAAACAGTATTTGGATCAGTGTCTCCTCTTGGTCCCAAATATTTCCTGCTACTATCTCTTACACAGGTGCTGCCACTATTGTTTAAAATCATCAAAGACAGCTGGGTCTAATATGGATTGGTGAAAACAAATCGGAAGGCAAGGAGAGTTTAACCCCCAGTACTTAAAGGTATTGGATAAGAGATGACAGGAGTTCCGTTCTTCTCAGTCATCAAAGCCCCAGAGTCCTGGTACTATCTTCCACCAAAGTCTTAAACATCAGAAGCTTTTCACCACTTAAAAATGTTGAGGGCTAGGGATGTAGCTCAGTGGTGCCACTGCCTGCTGCAAAATTGCAAGGTCCAGAGTTCAATCCCCAGTACCTCCCCCCCAAATTTTTTTGATGAAGCAATTGATGAAAACTTCAAAAAAGAAACAGAACATCCCTAAATACAATGTCCAGTAGACTTAGGGCTCCAGAGAAGCCATTTTTTGTGGTGGTTGGTGTTCCCTCTGGCTTGGAAAAGAAACACAGGCTCTTCGTGGCCAAATCTCTCCATTCAGAATACCCCAGTCCTTTCTTTTTCCTTCTAAACAGACTCACCCTTTCTCAGAGGTGCTGTTTTAAAGAAGACTTTACTGAAGCAGGATTGTCACCAAGGTCCACACTGACAGTCTTTAGATGACACTTGTTTCCTAACTTGCTCCTTTCTTCTCCCATTCCTAGAGCACCATACAAATACCATCACCCCCCCCAAAAAAAAGATAGTTATTCTCTGTAGCAAGCTTATATACATAGAAAAAAAATTTAAGCAGAGAAACAGGAATAATAGCCAAATTATTCCTCTCTGCTTGGAGTGCCTACTAAGAGAGTTTAGGGATGTCTACCACGGCACTGAGGCAGTTGAGGTCCAGGTAGCAAATGGATTTAACAGTGTGCCACCGGTACCTCCAGCAAGTAGGCAGGATAGGGACAAAAAGCAGTATTGGCCAAAAAGCCAGGCAGTTCTTGGCATGTTTTTTACTATATAAATAAGTTAAGGATTAGTAACACTTTTTGTCTAGCCCTTTGGGTGAACCCAGTCATAAGATCCAGTGGTTGTTTATGCCTTGCTGAGCCTTTTACCACTAGCTGGTTGGGGGACTGGGCAAACCACATTGCTCCTTTGAATCTGCTTCTTTAAATAGCAGAAGTCTATGGATTCCTGACTTGTGGGTTTGAAAACTCTTGGGTCAGCCTGTTCCTGAGCTGCAGCTATTCCCAGGGATCCAGAGAGGTTTAACTGGGAGAGGTCTGGGACAGAAGTGTCCTTGGGCTTCCTGGTAATAACACTTGAATCCAGTGCAAGCAATTTTCTTGTTAATCAGTGCCAGAGACTAGATCAAAGGCACAGTGTTACTTCCCGCTGAGTGCAGAGCCCTCACTCAGGGTTGGTGCCAAAAGCCACAGAGTGCCACCTGCGTCCTAAGAGGGGCCCCTCCTTAGCAGCAGTTCTGCCTGCCCTCAGGCAGGATGGGGGTGACCACTTACCTTGGCTTTCTGGAGGACAGTGCCTTTGCCTGTGACCATGACTGAAAGAGGCCTATTCTTGAGCGCGGTGGCAGAGTTAACTGGGGTGCAGTCTTGGGTGGGGGCGGCGGCTTTAGGCTGTGGTTACAGAAAGAGAGTAAGGACTAGGCCAAGGGGAAGGAGACATGGCCCTGCCCTCCCCCGAGCCGGAGTCCAGGAGGTTCTGCTAACAGCCCAGAAGAGCCACGGCTCCCACCACTCACGCGGGGGCTCATATTGTCCAGGTGTGTAGTGTCCACTGTGGTGCCCAGTGTCACGGGTCCAGCTTCAGCCTTCTTCAGGTTGTCCTTCACCTCCATGATGTTGAGCTCAAGATCCACACGCCTGCTCTCCTTGATCCGGCACTCCTCGTCAATTTCCTTCAGCTTCTGTTCCAGGATGGCCAAGATGCCCTTGTCTGGGGAGAGAATGAAGCTGGCTGCAGACAAAGCACCGCAGCCAAGGCCAGGAAGCTAGGCTAGGTGGAGTCAGGGTCTACATGTCCCCCTGCCGGAGAACAACCCCCGGTCCATGTAGACCACAGGTCTGGCTCTAACACACTGAGCTGGGCCAGGACCAAGTCTTGTGTTAGCACTATGTACAGACTGGGAAGGCTCCAGAGGAGGCGAGCTCTGCCTTCACAGGAGGCCATGAGTGCGAGGCCTAAGTCTCTTCTGGAGAGTTCCCAGAGGCTCTCAGTTCTGGAACCTGCTATTGTTACAGCATCCAAAAGCTTGAGAATAGCTTTACCAGTGGCCCTTAGAGGATGACTGGGTCTTCTGACCTGGCCCACACAGCCCACTGTACCCTTCCAGCAGGAATCCTCAGCCTGGAGACATTCTCAGCCCTGTTGTATGCATCTTCTCTTAACACCAGGATTGAGAAATCATGACCTGTGGGTGTCCATCCTAGGATGGCAGCCTGGGCTCAATCCAGAGCCCTAAGCTCAGGGCCATAGTCTCCAAAACCCTCATGTGCTGTTCCCAAGTATTACAGTCAGTGATCACCTGTCAGCTTTTGTCAGAGTGAGGCAGAAGAAATTTAAAAACTAGGCAGAAAGGAAACAAGAAAAATCATAATTTTAAAAAATGGCAGCTTCGGGACACAATCCCAGTTTAAACACCACCCCCTCTTCTCCAAGCCTGGACAATTTCCTTTCATCTGCGAGTGGATTCATCCAGTCCTTTGGTTTTTGCAAATGTCCTTTTTACCCACGAACAGATCACCTGTTTTGATCTGTAAGCTAGACTTTCCCCTAGGTTGACAAATTCTCCAGATTTCAACTGCTAAAAACACATATATATTCCTAGTTTCAAGCTGCAGTACATCTCATTTTTCTGAACACCAGCACTTGTGTGGACTTAAATTTCTGTCTGGCAAATCCTTGCCAGGCTGGTACTGACTCACCCTGAAAATTCTTTTTCTGCTGCAGAGTCAGCAAACCTATTCTACAGGTAAGGTAAGTCAGATTTGTTACGGCAGCTTCAGGAATCTCCCTGTTCCCCGACCAGTGAAATAGTGGCCCTATTACTGCTTATCCTATTGTCAAGAAAAAATCATAGAGAAAAGGAAAGTGGAGAACATGTATTAATGATGTTTGGGGGGACCTGGGATTTAAAAAAAATACAGTTCACACTTAGTGGTCACTGCCAAGACTTTGATAATCATTTCTTGTCTGTGACTTATTAACCTAGGATCTGCAGGGTTTAACTGCCAACAGAATAAAAACCTAGTGACAGCTGTCTTATCCCATCTGGAATATCTGCACAGGAGAAAAGGTCGGGGCCCCAATTCAGCACCTTCGGGGGTTTCAAAGTGAGGCAAGAGATCAGGGCATGTCCAGAGAGCTGGGCAAGTGGGTGGGACCTGTCAGTGACAGATCCAGGACACAAGCACAGAAAACCAGTTCTCCAGCCCTGACCCTGGGACCAGTCAAAGTGCGATCTTCAGTTTTTCGGACGATGGCCTAGATCTGCAGTCACCCCAAAGAGAGGGGTACAAAGGCCTTTGTGGTCTTTCTCTCAGTGGCTCTGCATCTGCACCTTTTCCTACCTTTAATAAATGTAAGTCCTCTCTACCTTCTGCAAGTGTCTTGACCGATTCTATATTCAAGACAAGAATCAGAAAAGAATCTCTAGAAGGGACCCCGAGCACCCCAGAACCCTGATAGCACACCGACTGTCTCAGTGAGTCTCTGGTCACCTTCCTCTGCTCACATCCAGCCCTTAGTCTTGGCTGGGTGAAAGGAAGCCAAGCCACTGTCTCCTTACCCCGAGCACTGACAATATCCCAAAATGTGGAACCTCCTAACTAGAAAATTCCCATCTATAGACAGTGCTTGCCTAGGGGTAGGAGAGCTGGGGAAATGGGGAGTTACTGCTGATAAGAGACAGGTTTTCTTTGTAGCGATGGCTGTAGGTGCATAGCTCTAGAATATACTAAAAACTACCAGTGTACACTTTAAGTGGGTTAGGTGGATGATATGTGGATTAGAACTCAATAAAGGTGCTACTAATGAGTGACTGTACCCTCAGACCTTTCTTCACCAATCCTAACACGGCTTCCCAGCAATCAGCTGTGTTTATCTTCAAACCTGCTCTGTCAGTTCTGCCCGCTAATGCAACTCTGCAATTTAAATATTAAATGAGCACAGAGCTACTGTGCGAGACCTGAATCAAATGCTTCAGAAAGGCTCTACAAAGGGAAGATTCCAGGACACAGGATGTGAGAATGATTTACAGAGCAATCTAGCAGGCCTCAGATTTCTCTGTGAGAGTCTTAAAATTAAGGGAGATGCCCTGTAGCTATGGGTAATGCCAGCCAGCTGGCCCAGATTTCAGAAGGCCTTGGCGCTGTATCAAAAGATTGGCCTCAGAAATACATTCTAAGTGGAAACCAAACATTGCAGGCCTAAACATTTTGAAAGAGTACCTGCTAGTCCTGTTGCCACTGGTCAGAGGGTCTCTCTGTGCCATGTGGTGGTTTTAGGCAGGGCCAGAGGGGAGGGGCCCTTGCCAAGGGTGAAGGGGCTCGGGCCCAGGACTCTGGAGTCCTGATGGCAGATCCAGGTCCTACCCTATAAAGCCCATCTGACCCAGCCATCCCCCAGCAGTCCCTTACCTGTGCATTTTAACAGGGTCTCTTTCAGCTCTCGCTTCTCTTTCCGGAGCTGAGCCAGGTGGCCTCGGATCTCTTCCTTCATCTTCTCGAGTCTTTCCTTCTCCTCTGTGTACCGCTTCACCTCGGCCTCTGTCCGATTCTTGCCAAGTTTGATCTCTAAGACCCAGGGTGGGGAGGCCCCAAGTCAGCTGTGTTGAATCCTAAGATCTGTCCCCAGCCCCCTCTCCAGGCTCAGACAAAACCCAGGGCTTGGGCACAAAATGAGCAGGATCCCAGGATCAGCCCTATAGGGAAGGGAAAGGGAACTGGGCCCACACAGCATTCCTTTGCTGTGTGACTTTGGGTAAGTCCCTCCACCTCTCTCGGAGGAACCTTTGCTTCCTCATCTGAAAGGGAGGGAATCAGGCTAACTCCTCCACATCACATCCAAGACATTCAGCCCAGAACTAGGACAGGCACCTGCACTGGTCACCCGCAGCCTGTCCTTCACAGGTGGGCTGGTGCTAGCTGGGGCAGCAGCCAGGATGTCAGGGCAGTTTGGAGGGAAGGAGATTCTCTGCTGCTCGGCCTGCAGCTTGACAGTCGCGACCCTCAGGGTAGGCTCCTCCGGCTCCTGGCTTGCCAGCTGCCTCTGTGTAGAGAGAATCAGCCCTACTCAGCTGGCTGGAGGGTGAGGACAGTGCACGACTGTCCCTCGGGGGGACCATTTACCTGCTCTTGGCTTTCTGCAGTCATTATGCAGAACTCCTCCGGGGCTGGGCCAGCGTCTGCAGGGAGGACGCTGGCCATGTCATCCAGCTGTGGTGACACAGGGGAGGCGGCCCGGGCCTGCAGGCTGCTGGAGCTGTGCAGGGAGGGCTTGAGTGGTGTGAGGTCCAGGTACAGTCTGTCAGGCTCGTTCTCACTGAGGACATCCACAGAGAGGGTGGCTTCCTCGGCAGGTTCCACCTGCAGGAGAAGTCAGGTGGCATCCACCATGGCCAGCGCCAGCCCTGCCTCAGATCCGTCCCTTCTTCACACCCCAGAGGGGTCCTGCATGTATCACTTGAGAAGCAGAAGTCCCAGGGCATAGTACTCAACCTCCCTGACCCCTTGCCCACTCTGTAAAGAGGAAACCAGCAGTGTCTTCCTGGAGGTTGGTTAAGATGAGAGTTCATCTACAGAGCTCTTAGCTCAGCAAGAGCTCAGTGCCCAGTACAACAATCAGCCATCAGCATGGTCACCTCTCCTCAGCCATCCATGTGGCCCTCAAAAGCTAAGGTGTCACCACTCTCACCCTCCACCCGCTGCCCTATCTAGCCAGGTCCCAAAGCCATGCCAACTGCACAGTCCCACACAGCATGAGCTTGCTGCACCATGGCGACCTGGAATCCACTCCTCCTGGGACCCTCTGACCATCTCTGCTGTGGGAGTCTGGCAGGAGGCAGGCGGGACAGCTGCAAGCCGCTGCTACCCACAGAATCCTTACCGCTGGTGGCAGCTCTGACATCTCCACGTCGTCGTAGAGCTCCTCCTGGTGGGCCTGGCTGGGCAGGCCATCGATGTAAGTGTTGGGCTCCGAGAACTTTCTCTGCATGAGTCTGGAAGACACAGCCAGAGTCAGTCACTTCCTTACAGGGTGGTGGCCGGCCTCTCAGGATTCCTCACAGCTGCACAAGAACCTGGGGACAATGCTTCCGTGCATTTGGGGGCTTCTCCCCTTTATATTCCCAGGACCCCGGAATCCACACTCCCCTCTCTCCCTAGCGTCCTGTGTCCACCTTCTCCCCAGAATCCTCCCTTTTGGACTCTCCTCCTCCCTCATAATACCCGGGGTAGCACAGACAAGACCCCGCCCCATTTGGCTCAGCAGGCTGGGCCTCCCCATCCTGGGTGCATTTCTCCCAGAGCACCAGTTTGCTCATCTGGAAAGCAGAAGTGCCACCCCTGCCCTGCTTAGTCCAGATGTGGGAGGCACCCAGTGAGGGAATCCAAGAAAAGCACCGAATCAATAGGAAGACCAGCAAAGGTGTCCACTCCGCCCCAGGGAGCTGGAGCGAGTCTAACCAGAGCTGCAGCTGCTCCTGGGGCCCAGGACCTGGCTCAGCCCCTCATGAGAGCTGCTCTATGATGCCAGACTCGACACCCTCCTGCTGCTGAACACAGTGGGGCCAAGCCCTGTGCTCTGAACGGCCATCAGCTCTGGCTGCCCATCACAGGCCAGGCTGGGCCAGGGTCTAGGAGCACAGCTGGAACTGCGAGAGCAACCAGTGCAGAGTCCCTCTGTACTCACAAGAAGGAGTTTTTGGCTGCATTAACAATACAGGAAACCCGCTCGGCATCTACGTAGTCATAGGTGAACTCTTCTGGGTCTGTCTTGGAGCCCGACTCAGACAGCAGGAGGCCTAGCCAGTGGCCCATCTCTTCCGAGGACTTGGCCTGCAAGGAGGCCAAGGGAGACCTGAGCAGGACCAGTGTGTGTCACCCGGGGGACAGTCCCACCGCCCAGCGCCAACCCCATGATCAAGACTCTAGACAGCCCCTGTGGGGTCTGTTTACCCCCGGGGCCCCGTGTAGCATCCCTGTCAGTGATATCTTACTGCTGCCTTAATGGTGTCCTGGTCACTTGGGATGTCTAGACCCGTGTCTCTCAAAGGTGATAACAATTGTTAGTATCTATGACCTTGTGACAGTAATAGTTATCAGCTCTTAATAGCCGTTAAAATATTAAAAACTGATAGCCTTGTAGGTGGACACCTCTGTTTCATCAACCATCACTCTCCGTTTATCCCCCTAATCCATCCGTACCTGCAGGACTGCCTGGATTCTTGCTAAGAAATGGTGACATTCAGATTTATACTTATGGCTTCAATAAAGTCAAAGTGTCTTAAAGACTTTAGGCCATGTCAAATAGCCCTGCTAAATTAAATTCCAGTGGATGAGATTTTTTCCCCCCTTAGGGAGCAAAACATTCTAATCAAATGCAAACACTGGGCACTTCTATTAAAATGTTTCTTGCCTTTATAATAAAAAAGAGGGAATTCTATAAAACCCACAGGTTTATCTTCATGAGGAAAACCAGCTCCCCTTTGGTAACATTCCACACGGCGCTCCCACCCTTACTGCCTTCCCTTACTGAGATGAACTGGACATTTGGGTGGTTTGCTTTTCCCATTTGTTCTTAACTGGATTTTTCAATGCCACTTCATGGGGCATCCATCCCCTAGTTCAGGCCACCACCATCTCTGCCCCAGACAACTGTGGCAGGTGCTTGTCAGGTCTCCTTTTGTCCCTTCTTGTCTCCTTCCCACTACTCCTTAGCCCAAACTAGAGGAAGGAAGCACCCTAAAATCCGACTCTTAGTGTTTTTTGTTTTTCCAGTACCGGGGATCGAACTCAGGACCTTGCGCTTGCGAGGCAGTCACGGCGCCACTGAGCTAAACCCCAAGCCCCCAGCTCTGAATATGCCACCTCCCTTGAAACCCTCCTAAGGGCTCCCACTGCCCTTAGGGTCAAGTCCTGCCCCCAAATAAAAATTCACAGCACTGCCCCACTTCATTTGAGAACTGTAATTAAGCGATAATTTGGTCACTGGGCGAATATCATCACACTCTAAAACTAGAATACAAGTTCCTTGAGGACAGGGGGCATTTTTCCTATCTACCATATTACCGCTCTGAGCAGATAATTGCCAACCTGGCAATGAATCCAAGCTTTAGTGGGATGGGAATTGTGGAATGGACATTTTAGCCACCAGAGGGCAGTGTTAGAATAAAATCTGGAGGAAGGCCCCTTGATAAAGGACCACAGGAAAGGGAGTTAATGGACAAGCGTGTGCTTAATTGTGTGTGCAAAGAACTTGGGCTCCGCCTCTGGGGCCCAGTGCAAGGCATAATTATGTCACCTCTTATTTTTGTAAATGTAAAATTACATCAGACAGGGTGAGCAGTGGGAGAAAAGCAGTTGTATCTCAGAGCTACTCCAGATCCCCGGATAAGCTGACAGCTGTCATTTCTATGTTCTGGACCTCAGGGTTTTCCTTGCTGGTGACACATAAATTAAATAGCACCTATTTAATTCCCAGAAGCACCACTAGCAGCTCTGGGGGTGTTATAAATACTCCGCCTGCCCTAAGTGCAGGAAGTAGCTCACGGTTCCTCTCCTCCACTCCTGTAACCCCTGAGGTCAGACCAGAAACGGACATTTTTAAAAATGCAAACAATCACAGGCAAAGGAAGTAAAATAAGATGCAGCTACATAGATTTTGCCCTTAGGAGGACTCGGTCCTCGAGACCTGCAGCCATCAGCTGTGAGCCCTCGCCCAGGCTGTCCCTGCTGCTTGCTGCAGCACAGTGGTACCTCGAGCTTGGCCAGCTCCTCCCCGTTGTGGAGGATGCGGAAGGAGTAGAGGTGGTCGGGGCTTGGGTCTGGGACCACTTCACAGCCCACCAGGCTGAGGGGCTGCTGGGCCACCTTGCTCCGGTTCCGGTCCTGGTAGAAATGCAGGTGACTGTCCCTGACAGAGCACCAGCGTGACTTCCACTGGCTGTTCACCAGCACGTTCAGGTAACCTGCCGGGGATGGAGAGGCAGGGAGATGAGGCTGCAGAAGATGAGACCGTGGGGCAGGGTGGGGACGGTAGGGCGACAGACACTTGTAGGAAGGGACCCAGCTGAAGGAGAGTCGGGGCTGCCAAGGGTGTCCAGGGCTGCATGGCCTCCGGGCCTCCTGAGAGTCTCCCCATCAGTTAGGACCTTTTGTGCCTCTCAGCTAAGGAAGCTGTGGATCTCTGCAGTGCATTTCTTCTTCCTTCACAGAAGCAGCCAGAACAGTGGCGGTGAGCGTGCCACAGCCGGCTGTCTGTTAATACTGAAAGCTCTAAAATGCTCTCTGCCACTAAGCTAGGCCCTTGAAGGTGAGCAGGAAGCTCACACAGCCATCGTCTCCTGGCCCCTGATCTCCCTGGCAGTCTTTTCATCCCTGGCCCCTTCCACCCCAGCCCAGGCACCCAGCTTCTCCTTGTCTGCCTCATGCCACTGCCCCAGGCCCTCCCTGGTCTGGGCTTCTTGCTCTGCCTTCGCTCAGACCACCTGGCTCCCTGTACAATGAAACTTTCTGCTTCCATTCCAGCCTCCCCAGTCAGACACATGTGTGTTTCAAGGGCAAGAACTGCATCAGGCCCTCCAATGCCCGAGGTCTGCTCCTTCCCCACAGGGGCCCACACTGCCTTGGCGCAGCGCCGGCTGTGCCAGCACCGACACTCATGCTATCCTTTCTTGTTCTCAAATGGCCGCATGGAGTGTTCAGCTTTCCAAGGACAGAACAAGCTTCCCCCCCCCATCAGATAAATTAGTGAGCTGACAACGCACCACGGCCTCGTCCTTGGCAAAGATGAGCAAAAGCCAGCTCAGTGCCATCTGCGTGCCCCTGTGCAGTGGGCTGACATCTCCACTCATCTCAGATGTACTGGCTTACAGAGTGGGCCCCTGCTCCATGTCAAGGCTCCGACAGCTGCTCTGCTCCCTGCTGGTTGAACTAAGTACACAGCCACCGTCCTGCCCTGTCCAGAGCTGGGCACACAGAGCGGACCACGACTCTCTGAGCTATATCAACATCATATCACGGTGGCCAAGTGGATGAGTGAGGCCACACGTACCCATCACAATCCTCAGGTCACAAGGAGATTGGGGTCGAGAGACCTGGGAGTTGAGCTCTTAAGCATCCAAAACCTGGGTCCCCAGGGCACAGCTGGCGGCCACACAGACTTCCAGCTCTAACCCAGTCATCTCGCACAGTGGCACCCGGAGACCAGGCAGGCCCTAGGCCTTGAATCACACCTTCTGAGGCTGTAGCACAGGCAGAGCTGAGCCACCCCTAGCCCCAGTGGGAGAAGCAGGAGGATACACAGTGACCTCACAGCTGCCTTCCCACTCCACTGCACTGCCCTGCCAGCCTCAAGCAACTAGAGCACTTACCTGGGACTCGGGAAGGGGAGATGGCTAGGGTGGACAGTAATGGCCTCCCCAGCGAGGGCTGCAGCCAGCTGGCCAGCTTACCAGCCACCTCACTTCGGGATGTTTCCCAGGCCAGGACTGTCTCCTCTCCTGAGTTTGGTTTCCACAAGTATGGTGAGGGCAGAGGAAAAGACCTCTAGGAACCTACCGGCACCCACATGCCCTGTGAACCAGCCACACAGGTTCCTTATGTCCCCTTTCAGAGGCTTGGCCCATCCCCATCTCAGTCTTGGCTCCCACCTGCCCTCCAAGGCTCAAGTCCACCCAGCCATCTCTGCCCACCGAGAGGGAAAGGCCCTCCATGCTCTTGAGTCCTGAGGGCCATGAACACGTCCCCGTGTGTACTTAGAGTATATAGCGACCCTGTGTCTTCGGCTACAGGTCTCGGGTCTATGTCTTCCACCAGCCTGCCGCCTCATCCTAACACTGTGCCTGCCACAACCCACAAATACAGACCAAATGCACAGCATTTCATAAAGAACATCAGGAGGGTGGGCATGGTGGCGCATGCCTAGAATCCCAGCTAAGGGATGGCTCCAGGAGGAGACGGCAGTCCTTACTGGAGGTCTCCAGGGGCCTTTCCGGGGGCTCCAGTGAGGTGGATTTCTTCCTGCCCAGGTTCATCAGGTTGCTCAGCTTGAGGCCGGCAGAACACTTTTTCTTGACTGTTGAGATGGAAAAGATGCAATCAGCACACATATGGCCACTTGCGTGCAAACTCATCCTTACTCTTTCCCCCATCCCTACACACACACAGAGCTATTCCCTACACCGGGATCTGCAGGACAGAGTCAGCTGTCTCCAAAGGCACAGCCCAAGGGGGTGCATAGACTGCTGGGAAGAGGTGAGCCCTGCAGCACCTTTATAAACTGCTGGCCAGCCGGGGTTTGAAATAGGATCGGCAGGCGAGAGGAAATGCAAGCGTTTTCTTTCCCCAGCCTCTCACAAAGTGTAACCGCACTTTCTGTGGTATTTCCAGCAGTTTCTAAGTTGGAGGCCATGTTAGCTTCAGCTGCTCACACCTGCCAGGGCTCGCTGTGACCCTCCCCATCCCAAGGCCGGGCGCCCTACTGGTGTCACCACTATTACCGTCTTTGGTCTCCGAGACCTCAGCGTGGCCATCCACAGAGCCCCCATACTCCGAGGCGGATAGGTACTTCTCGGCTATATCTGGCTGTGGACAGAGACACGGGTGGGGTCATGGCTGGAAATGGTTACCATGGAAACTACGATGTAAGGGAAAAAGGTGGCTCCCGGATGTAGGCCAAAGGTCACTTGACCAAAGCCTGGAGGCAAGAACCCAGCTCACTGGCAGGACAATGGCCAAGCTTCCCCTAGGCTCCCTAGGGGACCTGCTCTCACCGCTTCCCAAGGTCCCTCAGCTGTCCCCTGCCCCACTGCAGAGCACCTTCCCTGTCTCCAAGCCACGGGTTCCCCAAATCTCTGCCCAGTCTGATGTGACAGCAGCCTCCACCCCCCCAAGAGATGGAAGTCTTCTGAGACCTGGACACACGGGCAAGGGAAGCGCAGGTGGCTGCACAGGCTCCAGCAGGACAAGGCCAGCCTGAGTCTCAGCCAGGCCCATCCGGGACAGGCCAGAGGGCCCTTTCTGCGCCTTGCTCTGCATGGGGTAAATCCTGGTCTGCTGGTGTGGTGGGACTGGTGGGGACCAGGGACGACCCCTGGGAATGCACAGCTGCCGTTGGACTATGAAGGGCTTAGAAGGCTCCAGTCAAGCTCCTGCCTACTCCAGGCTGCCAGAAAGTGAGCTGCCAGGTGGTGCCAGCAACCGCCAGGCCAGTCTGAGTCAGGATGTGGGGCACACGGACCCCAGCCAGGGGAGAGTGGCAGCGGCAGGCTCCTGTTCCTCACCCCCACAGGAAGAAAACCCAAATTCCCTCTGACTTGTTTTCCTGTCAGTGGCCGAGCAATGAGTGAGACCCCAAAAACATCAGCCACTCAGCAGTCACCCAGGTAGGGCTGCGGGCACTTCTCCAGGTGGCCTGTGCCTGCTCCAGCCCTCTGCATGCCTTCTTGCTGTCCTCCCTGGCAGGGCTGTATCCCCAAATGAGACACTGTGCCCCTCTGGGTACCCCAGGCTTCAGGGGACTCACCTACAGATACTCAGGGACATGAAGGGTGACCTCATGCCCCTTCACACCCAAGCTGACCTGGACCCCTAGAGTTCTGCACAAATCATCTCTGGAGGTTTTGAGGGGAGGAGCACAGAGACCATGCCATCCAGGGGAGCTGAGGGGGAACAGCAGAAAGGAAGAACCCAACCACTGCTGTAATAATGCATCCCCCATGCCCAGCAAGGAACTTTTTCTTTTTTGGTAATGGAGATTGAACTCAGAACCTTGCACTTGTGCTTGTAAGGCAGGCGGTGGAACCACTGAGCTAAATCCCCAGCCAGCAAGGAACTATTTTAGATCTGTATCTACTTCATCTGTCTTTCTGTAGAGCTAATTATGACCACTGCTCTGGGGCTTGTTTCTTATTAATTGGGCTGAAATGCAAAAACAAAGCTCCCAATTTTACACTTCTGATTTTCATGGAGCAAAAACATGATGGGATCCCCCCTGTCCCCCCCCCCAGGCAGGGCAGAGCCTCACTTTCTGACAGTTTGGGCGCTGGGCTTCTGGGGTATACTGGTTTCCCTCGGATGTTCCTTCGGAAGGCAGACTGCTCACCTCCTGGATGACCTGGAGCAAGAAGAATGGTGTCAGCAGCAAGAGCCCCTTCCTGCCTGCTTGTACCGAAGATCAGAGTGGAGGCCGGGGCAGGGGTGGGGCGGAGGTGAGAGAGAAGACACAACTGCCAAGGGACCAAGACCACCTCTGTCCCGCTCAGTCCACAGGTGTTCTCCGGACAGGTGCTCAGGCAGCGGTGGGGAGGACCGGCTGCTCAGGCCCTTTCCCGCAGCACCCCTGTGTTCTGGGGGTGAGCGGGGCCTGTGCAGCACAGCCATGACCCCCTGGCCACCACCATTCGGGCATGGGTGCTGTTCTGCTGTGGGTGCCATGAACAACTGCATGGTCCCCACGCTGCTTGGGAGCAGGCCTGCAAACGGCACTGATCAGGCAGGTGCTCTCCAGGCTCATCTGCTGCCACTGCCCCCAACCTCCCAGGAAGAAGCACCCAGAGCCTGGGCTGGGGCTCACACAGGTCAGAGGTGGCACACACTTCACTAAGCAGCAATGCACCCAGCCCTTCCAGAGCCACAGGCCACCTTGGAATGACCCAGGCAGGCAGGCAGACACACACACACAGACAGACAGACACTCCCACACCCACACCCGCACCACACCCACAACCTGGACATCAGAAGCCCTTTGCAGGCAGAGAATCCGTAAGAGCAATTTCAAGGACCCTCTTGGTTAAGTCTCTCTGCTCACAGCAGTTTGTGGAAGCACGTTTAAAAGCAGAAGACCCAAAGGAAGCAGGCAGAAATACCACAGGGAGGGGAAACAAAGCATTTCTCTCCTCTTGGATGGGCTCCAGTCAGGGACTTTGGGTCACGAAGTGTCATGGAAAGAGGGCAGGTGCTAGAGTCACCAGGGTAGCTGCATGACCTTGAGCCTGGGTCTGTCACAGGATCCATAGGATGGGACCACACCTCTGGGCTCGCAGTGAGGACTCGTGTCAAGAACCCAGCACAAGGCACACATTACACCTGTAATCCCAGCACGTGGGAAGCTGAGGCAGGAGGTTTATCATGAGTTCAAGGCCAGCCTGAACTACACAGCAAGACTGTCTCTGAAAAAATTAAAACAAAACAAAACAGAAAAGAACCCAGCACAGGGTAGCTGTGTTCTCTGCGGTCCTCATTAGTTTGGGCCTGAATACAGAGATGCCCTGCTAGGGGCAGCACAGGAAGCCTGGAGCTCAGGCTGGAGCGTGAGGTGGGTCTCCTCTGTTCTGGAAGGCCCTGCCGCTGGCCTTCCTTTTCTGGGACTCTCACCCACACTCAGCACCTCTCACTTACTGTCCCAACCCATCTCCTCCTGCACACAGGTGTGATTACATAAACGGAGACAGAGGCCCGGGGAAGGAGGCAGGTTTGACAAAGCCTATGTGGCTCAGAGAAAGCCCTTCGGCAGGCCGGCCAGCCCTACCACACTGCAGCCTTTCAGGGCCAGAACGCAGAGCCGGGCACCACTGCGCCCATCTGACCCGGCAGGAAAAGGGTCTGAGAAGACCGGACAGGCAGGCTGTACCTTTGAAAGTGCTCTTGTCTTTGAAGACAGCAGCAGGGAATGTGGAGGCCTGGGGCTTAGGAAGAAGGTGTGAGAGTCTGAGAGATCAGAGGGACAGCTCTGGGAACTGAAGCAAGAGCTGTGTGTGTGTGCATGCATGTGTGTGTGTGTGTGCGTGTGTGTGTGTTTACAGAGTGGGAAAAATGAAAGGGCTGGCATATCCCAGAGGGAGACTGTGCTCTGGGCCTTGGAGTCTCATCTGTGTTAGCAGAGTTCCCTACACGCAGTAAGTATATCAGGTACCGTGTGAAGTACTCTGTATGCACTGAGGGATCCATCCAGTACCACACAGCTAAAAAGGCGTGAGGTCAGGATTTGAAAGTAGAGCGCTCACTCTACAATGCCAGGCCTTTCGGAGCTAACAATCTCAGGAACACACTGAGGCACAACCCTGTCTGCGCAGCAGCCCTTCCTGTCCCGTGTGGCTGTCCTTAACCACCTGGAAACCTTGCAGGAAGGACCGAGGTACCTGCCAGCTCCTCCTAGAAGCTTGGTTCGGTCAGAATTCTCAACACATTTAGTGGTTTCACAGAAACAGCTCACAATCTGCCTCTCACTAGGTGCCATTTGGTCACATTTTAATAAGTGGCCTAGGTCTGTTTCTGAGCAGCTGGCCATGGGGATTGTGTTTCGCCAGCTCAGCGGGCAGGAACAGATATAACAGTGAAAACACAGCAGCATGGCAATGACAGCAGCTGGGCAGCAGGAAGGAGGGGAGGGATGGATGTGTCTCCCTGGACTCCCCATGGAGGCTCACGACCCCTCCGGATCTGTGGGTCCCTTCTGGATTCACAGTGCCACTTCCTGAACTATCAGAGTCACCTCTGACACGGGGAGGGAGCCCTCCAACCCCTCCGAGCCCAGACATCCTGGCACATCTGGGGGCTATGACGGCAGAGCGTTTCTGGAAACAGAAAACCCAGCACTGTGGCCCAGGTCTAAAGTCCAGGGCTACCACTCACTGGTGGGGTGACCTCTGCCCCATGAACCTTAAAGTCCATTCCTGTACAACTGAGCAGTAACATGGCTCAGCCACCCCCAGGGTTGATTAAGCCTCCTACAACCCAGGGTCCCTGTAAATCCTTCACAGATGGCAGGGACATCTTGGACAAGGAAGCCGACGACCCCTCACTAGAGGCAAAAAGGCAAGTGGTTCCAACTGCACCCCAAGTCCTGGGTTCAGCCTGAGCAGCAGGGTGCTGCATCTGTTTCCATGATGCCACCTGGGACCCAAGGCCACTGGCCGTCACCCGGTAGAAAACAGCGGGAGCCCGCAGTCAGGCCCGGAAGCACAGCCTGGGGCTTCCTTACCCGGAGCCACTGCTCGGCTTGGTCCCTGCTCTGCAGGCCCAGCACGATCACATCCGCGTTCATGGGCACGATCTTCAGCTTGTGCTCCTGCTTTCGCACTTGCTTCTCCTTGTGGACAACGCTGCTGCCCAGCAAGTTCACATCCAGCTGAGGGCTGTGGTCCTTGGAGGATTTGTAGCACTGGAGGAGAAGAGAAAAGATGCCCCTGAACCCTAAAAGATGCCCTAAGGGCCTGACTTTACCCCCAAACCGGAAGGCTGGCCTTAGCCTCAAACATCAGTCATTCCCATTTCAGCATCAGGCCGCTTTCCTCTGCTCGGCAGGGACGCCCCAGGCCCGGCTCATCCCAGTGCCTTAAACTTACTTTGGGGCTCGGGCAGGAGGTTCCTTAAACACAGCCATGCACCACTCAAGGAAACTTCTGTCCTCAACAGGCTGCAGTGACGGCCAGTGGCCCCGATATCACGGCACCCAACGATGAAGGTGTTTTAAATTAAATACACACTATGACATTCACAGGGGCTGGACGGCTTAGGGACACCTTTCTCAGAATGTGTCCCATTCCTAAGCAGCGCACGGCTGTACATTCCCTGTAGACCGCTCTCACTGCTCCAAGGTGGAACAAACTTTTACCATTTCTCCACCTCTCTGCTCAGCAAGGGATCCTAACTAAGCCAATCATCTGCCTAGGGAGACGCTGTGTTAGCAAGGGGAAGAAAGCACCTTCTTCTCCTACCAGAGAAAGACTCTGCCCCCCCATTTTCTCCTTGTAAAATGGGGGTATTTGGGGGGGGGGGCTCCCTGGTAGGATCACCCCAAACACCAGAAACAGCATTTGTAAAGAACAGAGCACATTGTCATCAGAGGAGAAAAGGTGTTTACTTATAATAATTCCATGGAGCTACAAGTCAGGACATAAAACTAAAAAAAACAAACAAACAAACAAAAAATTCTTTGATGTGGGATTTCATGTTACCCAGGCCGGCTTCAAATTCCTGGACTGCAGTGATTCTCCTGTCTCAGCTTCCTAAGTAGCTGGGGCTATAGGAGTGCAACATGGCAGGTGTGCCTGGCTCAAAACTGTTGAATTTTAATTTAAAATAACAGGAAACAGGACTGTTACCAGAGTACTACCTCCGGCTCCTTTATGGATCTTGACAGACAATCAGTCGTCCCAAGTACTGTAGTTTCTGAGAAGACGCCTACGGTTAGAGTGCAGCTTGAACAGAACCAGTAGTCAGAATGGGGCCTGGGATTGAGCTGGGATCCCCACCGGACTCTGCTACTTGTAGTGAGGAAGGACCTGGGGACAGGACCCTCAAAGAAAGGTGCCTGGGAGCCTCTGAGATTCTGGTGAAAACTACTAGATTTTCCTAGTTCAGGAAAAAAGCACATTCTTCCACAGACAAAATTCTGTGCAGTTTCAGGTTAGGGAGAGGTTGAAATGAAATCTCCTGACAGCAGAAGGCTCTCGATCTTTGGAACCCCATCAGACAGCTTCCCCCAGACAACCCCCAAGAAGATGAGATGAGCACTGACCAGGAGCCTGGTGTCCCTGATCACACAGAGCTGCTTGGCCCACTGGCCCAGCCACTTCTTGCGCCACAGGAAGGCACAGATGCGTGCGTCACGCATCAGCTCGATGCTGGCCTCTGGGGAAGGCCACTGGTATGGGGCGGACTTGCCCTTACTGCTCTCCTCTTCATCGTAGGACTCATAGGAGCTGCTCACAGCCTCTCCGTCCTCTGCAAAGAAGACCTGCTTAGTAAGGGCCACACGGCAGGGGGCTGTCCCTAAACAAGCAACACTGGGGAGGGAGGACAGCAGGCAACAGGCAGAAGCAATCCATGGCCCCAGGCCACCACCCACCTGCCCTGTCATGCCCTACAAACAGCCACTGGCCTAACACCACAGCTGGTTTCCCGGCCTGAAACTTCCTTCGAGAAGCTTCTCAGACCTCGGACCACAAAACGCCCAGAGCTTAAAAGAAATCCCACTCTTTCCCTCCTCAAATCCTATCTTCTTAGACTTCTGGGATACCCCTGAAATGGTGCTGCCCCAAGGACCCACTGTGGGCTCCCCAGAAACCGGGTCTTCTCTGTGGCCTCTGGCTCTTCACATGAGAAATCAGGTTGGAGGGTGGGATTGTTTGCAGGTCCTCTCGGCCTAGCACCCCACTATTCTCAGGGGTCAGGAGGGAGATAATGCCCTGCTGTGGGCTGTGAAGACCCCTAGTAGCCACCAGGCTGAAGGTGGTTCTGTCCCAGGTTGGGGTAAGGGACCCTGGCTCCTCAGAAAGAAAAGGCCACACCAAGCATGGTGGGAAATAGATGGCCACCTTCCACCCGATTCCTGTTCAAAGCCCTTTTTAAGAAATCCCTGCTGGACACCTCCAAGACAAACTGAGCTCCTTTACCTCTTTCCTAACTTACACCCTTCTCCTGCTGCTGGCAAGGAGCCACTTCAAGTTTCTGTCATTTGAAAGAATCCCCAACCTTACCACAGCACAAACTGGGAAAAATTCTATGCCTGTACCACCTGCCTGGGTCTTTACTTTCTGTCCCTTCTGTCCTTGCGTGGTTCCCCTGTCCAGGTCTCATTGCTGTATTCAAGGCCAACAAAATCTATGAGGAGAAAATGAACAAACTCATCTATATAAATCCTTGAAAAGCAGGACATAGAGAGGAAGGAACTCCAGCTTGCCTGGTCCAACCCCTGTCTCAGCAGAGCAATCCTGTCTATTAGAACCTTGTGGCTGTCTGAACTGCCCAAGGACGAGGAGCTCACGACCTGGTGATCACTGGACAGTTTCTTCCCTTCCTAATGTGGGCCCAGCCCATATAGCAGTCTTTGTTCTGTCCCAAGTCAGGCTGAAGGACACCCCTTTCTGTCCCCATGACACCCTTCAGAAGAGGGGGAGCCCATGGGGCCCCTAAGTCTTCCCAGAATCCAGAGGCCCATGTCCTATCTGGATAACTGTGTTCCTGCACACTAAGGAAAGAGCAGCTCATTTGTATTAGAATATAGGAAAACAGAGATGGGCAGCTGTAATATTTATTCTAGTCATAGTGCTAATAAAAATATATTCTATTTTGTTTTAATATTTCTAATAATAACACTTTATTTGAATATCAGTCTTCTTTAAAAGTAGTGTGGTTGCTTCTCTTCCTGGGTTAATTAAAAAAACTGCACCCTTACAGGTTTTTACACCTGTTAAATAAGCAAAGACGGAAAATTGTGGTACTATCCATCGGGGAATCTCAAAGCCTGCTGCTGGTGGCAACACAGGGAGCAATGTGGCAGTCCGTTGTTTTAAGAGCCGCAAAAGTTCTTATATTTGTTCCTCTAATAAATGTGGCCCTAAAAGTTTAATCCTAGGAAACTAGTTTTTCACAGAAGGGGAGGAGGGGTTGGAGATATCTCCAGGGTAAAGTATGTGCCTCACACAGATAAAACCCTGGGCTAGATTCCCCAGCAGCAAAACATACACATTGAGGACATACTCCTAAGTGAAATAAATAAGTCACACGTGTAAATACCGAATAGTTTCTCTGGTGTGAAAAACTGTAATAGTACACAAGATCCTAATGATAACTGGCAA